CTCTGCTAGTGAGAAGACTTAGAAGACGCACTCTTCTGGCTCCCAGGCCACTCTCCACCCCTCACCTCTACCCCTGTTCTTTTGCATTCATTTACACACACGCCCTTTTCTCTCTCTCTGTCTTTCTTTTGGCTAGAGGGAGGGAAGATATTTGTAGGGCTGTGCAGGTGATGTTTGAGATTGACATGGGGATCCCAGCATAACGGAGGACACAAAGGCATGTCTTTAATTAAATGGGTGAGGACCAGAAGGTGCTGAAACTCTTCTTGAGAAATATGTTCATTCCCAGAGCACAAGCAGCTCTGTTTCGGAGCCCGGGTGACAGAGTGAGGCACACTGTAGGGGAAAGCCATGTCCCACAAAAACCTAGCTCTGTTTGGTGCCCAGGGAGGGGCGTTCTTTGGACTACCAGGAAGAAGGACCCTCAGATATAACCTGGGGAGCCATGGGAAGGGCCTGAGGCTCTGCCATCCAGCAGTGGGGCATCCCTGTGCATGCACGCACCCAGCCTGAGAATGACCTTGGGTGGTAAAGGAAGCAAGTGTGGCTACTGAGAACTGCAGGGTGGGTGGTGGTGGAAGGAGAGGCTGACACACATATATGTTGACCAGGATGTTTATGGCCTCTGTGGCTCTCCGACAGCTCAGAGAAATAAGGCCCCATCGGCTCTAACTCTAGAGTGGAAGCAGGAGAACAGCAGGACCCCAGGCACCGCGCTCTCTGGAGGCAAGTGGTCCTCCACCTAGAGGGAGCAGATGGGAGCACGGTGCAAGAGCTCTTCTCTCAGGAGGTCTCCACAGCCACGATGCTACTCCAAGCCTGGGGGTGAGGCTGGGGCAAGGGGGTGAAACAGGCCGTCAGGAAGGTGGTGGACTGGGTCCCCAGTGCCCCCACCCTTCCTGCTCCCCTGNAGAACATGTGGTATTTCTTTTTCTCTGCCTGACTCGTTTCACTTAATATTATTCTCTCAATTGTATTACTATTTTAAATAATATGTCGACCTGCCATGTAAGTTTCCATTAAGAAGAAAGGGCTCTGAGGTTTTAAAAAATGGTATGGAAAACCCTGGTCTACCCCAAGTCCATATCTTTTTATTGATGGGCAAACTGAGGCTCTGGTCAATCCATCCTAAATGAAGGATTATAATCCATATCTTATAACCCTTATTCTGGAGGTCTTTCGCCACCCACCATCCCAACTCAATATGGTCATCCCCAGAAAGATCTTTCCATCTCTGCCCAAACCTCTCTTTCTATCCCAAGCCTGGACTCTGCCATCACCACGTCCGACCAATACCAAGAGCCTTTCTCTAGTGGGGTATCTTGGCTGGGTGGGGCATGCGGTTCAGACTCTGCTAGTGAGAAGACTTAGAAGACGCACTCTTCTGGCTCCCAGGCCACTCTCCACCCC